GGCTGAGAGGAGTTCCACTGTGACTGTGAGAAGTGATCATCCTATATAAATAATCCTCTATATATATGCAAATATATATGTCTTGAGTGTTTCGTGCGGCCCACCGTGACCGCGTAAGGGTTAAACAGATTATGTTTTTGAGAGAAAAGGGGGATTCCTTTTTACCCTTTGCTTTTTAGAATTATTATATAGTTGAACGTTGTAGTCTGTGGCAGCCGTCAAAGTGAAACCCCTTGACTTATTTCCAATCCCTAGGTGAAGGAGCTGGTCTTCAGGGCAATAAGAGACGATTGCCACCATAGGTATGAACCTGTGCACCACCCACTCTCCGCAGGATGCAGAAGAGGGTGTAGTTCTCAACCGCACCTTGAGTGTCTAACGCGACCCTCGAGATTAACGAGGATCGCATGAATATGGGTACTACATAATACGCCATCATTGCGTACGCTTGCATTGCTAGTCGATATGAGTAGGCCCTGCGCCCGCGCGGTTTTATATTAAGTCTCGCGCTCGTCGCCTATCCGATTTCCGCATCAGAGAGTTATGGGATGGCTACTGAAGGGACTAGGAGTGTTGTCGCGTTGTTTGGTGTGTGCGTGCGTGGTTTATTTTTGTGTTCGTAGTGTGGTATATGCGTGGTGAGTGGGATACGTCCTAGTCGACCGACGTCGAGTCGAGCTTGGGATTTCAGCCTCTCCAGTGTGCCGGTACGCGTGAGGGTCCGATAGAGGCGTGGGACCGTGCGTACCCCCTATGCTACAACGAACGAGAAACGCCCTCGACAGGTCCACCTATGCGATTGCAACTGATCAACTTTTGTACTGTGGACTGGTAGCTCGGCGGGGATACGCCGACCGAAGGGAGGTGACAACTCCCGTAAGGCGGAGGTAAGTCGTGCCTCGCGTAGGCCCTATCCTGTCGTAGGGGCTTGTGGGGGGTATGGCTGGCGCACTCGGCCGGAGCGGCTTGCGGAAGCTCCACTTCGCCAAGAGGATTTAAACCAACTCCTGCGTGACGCGACCGGGAGGGTCCCGCGCTGCCTTGTGCAATGCCGGACCATGCGCTCGACAGCGCTGCAGAAGAAGGTGTCGTGTACCTGCACAGAAGGCAACGACGGAGAGAGAGAGAGAGAGAGAGAGAGAGAGAGAGAGAGAGAGAGAGAGAGAGAGAGAGAGAGAGAGAGAGAGAGAGAGAGTGTTGAGCGATACAAGATTAGTTGTGTGGTCCAAGAGGAAGTGGCGGCCATAGCCGCAGAGCTCGATCACGGATGCACGAAGAAGGAAGGAGGAGACATAGCTGGGGAAGAAGGAAGGAGGGACAACGAAGTTGAAGACAGAGAAAGTCGAGGGTGAAAAAAAAAAAAAAAGAAAAAAAAAAAAAGAGGAAGGAAGAAGAAAGGGGCGAGATAGAAGAAAGGTGAAGAAGATGAAGAGAAGGGGAGTTGGCGAGGAAGAAAGTGTCGGCAGCCATAGCCGACTTGGGAGTTGACTGGGGTTTGACCGTGTTGAACAAGCGTTGACCAAGGCGTTGACCAGAGCTGTTGACCACGATTTTGATCAAGCTTGAGTTGGTATAATCTCGGCAAGCCCCTAGCCTATCCCCTCGCCCTATGGATGTGGTACTTGCTGAGTATGAGTCTGTCTGTCTCTTCTTTCTGCATTGAGTCTCTTCTGTCCAGGTGATAGAACTCCGTGTATGAAGGATAGGGCCTCGTTAACCAAACCAGCACGTGCTTTGTAGGGCTAAAGGTTGTGTCTGACGACTCAATTGTCCCGGAGGACACGAACCCTCGCAAGGACCGGTACTGATCGGCGGGCTGCTCGGTGTGGCACGGTAGGCCCAAAATCCAAGCTGTGGGCTGCACAACGGCCCGTCTAAGTCTTGAGAGAACCTGCTGATCGCGTCGTCCTGTCTGCGACGTTAAAGAATTCCTGAGGAGTTACGGGGGATCTCCTTAAATTATGCCTCCTGATCAGCAATAGGTTTTGTAGTGTCGGCTGTGGTTTAGAGTCTAGGCTAGAGACCATAGTTGGTAGGGTTCAATTCGAATTATGTGGTCCTTAGATTGAGTCGGTCTTAAGTTGAGTCAGTTAGGGTGAGAGTCTAAGCGGTGAGGAGTGGACACATCACTTTATTGTGCGTCTATCACCATGGTTGACACGCGTACAGGAACGAGCACCTCCCCTTACACAGTAGAACAAGAGGCGAAAGCCGCCGCCATCCTGAAAGAGAGAAGAGAGAAGGAGGCCAAAAAGAAGGCCTTGCTGGAAGAACAGGCGGCGGAGAAGAATCAGATTGAGGAAGAGATGGTGAGAGAAATGGAGAGGTTGCAAAAGGAGGAGGAAGAAAAACTCCGAGTGGTAGAGGCAGAAGAAGAGGTAGAAGAACAGCCACTGGAGAGGAGAAGGACAAGAGAAAGAGCAGAACCCAGTGGTGCGTAGGAAGATCCGTTGGAGAAGAAGATTACGGAATGGGTGGCCAATCTTTCCCTGGGAGAAGAGGAGGCGGCATTGATGTATGTAACCAGGGAAGAGCAGGAGACGGCCATGAAAGAGTGGGATGGAGAGGAAGATCCACTCAAGCGGCAGACAATCGAAGATGAGAAGAGGATGGAGTGGAAGCTGTGGCTGATAAGGGAAAGAAAAAAAAGAGTGGACGCAGTAAGCCAGGCGGCAAGGGAATTGGAAGAAGTAAAGAAACAGGGAGAGCAAATGGCGGCGCAGGCGGACCTGTTGGGGAAGATGCAGGTCATGGCGAGGAACATAGCGCGCCTGGCCCAGGTCGAGGAAGAGCAATATCAGTTTGGTAGGAGTCAGGACTTAGCCCTGCGATCTGTACGACTGGGATTCAGGGGCTTTGCACGTGAGTTAGTGATGCAGGTGGTCTCAGAGGTGAAGGCCCGCCTAGAGAACACGGAGCGTTATTGCACGGGCACCATAAAGAGCGCCAGGCTGGCTGCACCCAAGGAAGAAGAAGCACGTCCTCGTAGGGAGTCTGTCAAAGTGAAATTTCCCGACTCCTATAGTGGAAAGAAGGAGGAGAACTTTGACAATTGCGAAGTGAATATTAAGACGTATGTGCACTTACAGAAAGTCGCCCCACATGAACACGTCATGATAGCTATCCATGCTCTTAGGGAGGAAGCAGCAAGCTTCGCCCGTTCCCTCTGTCGCGCCGCTAATTGCAACGATGACTTAGTTGCATATTCGACATTTACTCCTCTCTGCGATTTCCTTAAGTTATTGAGAGAATGGTTTGCAGACGTTACTCCTAGTGTCAAAGCTTCAGATAAACTGCAAACCATCCATTCTCGCCAGTGGAGGAGTGCCAGGGCACTCAAAGATGTGATGGACGAGTTGATCACCGTTCCTGGCCATGGGGTCACTGAGACCCAATTGGTCAACCTCTTCTATTGTGCTATGCCCGAACAGCTACGCGGGCATTTCTTTGAGAAAAGTCAGCAACCTATGATGCTTTGAGCAGGGAAGTGGTAGCATTCGAAGCGCGGTCCATGTCAGTCTCCACTTTCTGGCACAAGATAAGGGCAAAAGGTGGAAAGGCCGTACCATCTAGGGTCAGGTCAAGACAAAGGATCGCCTAATCCTTACACTAGACGAAGGTGGTATGGATGAAGTCCCCTACGACCAGATATAGTGGGGACTAGAAGAGGAAGGAGACAGTAGCGCTAGCCAGGGGAGGACTTACGCTGCTGTCGCGGCCGGAGGGACGCCGCAAGGAGGTAGAGGCCAGGGCCAAGGGGGCCGGGCCTCAGGTGGTTGTTTCCAGTGCGATCAGGGGGTTGGCGGTAGAGGGAACCACCAAGCGGGAGGCAGGGGTCAAGGTCCCTCGCAAAACCGTTTTGGAAATAGGTCATCGAATAGGGGGAATAGGTCACCCTATAGGAGAAACGGTTGGCACCCAGGTCTGCCACAGGGCCGACCTTGGGAAGATTTGGGCCTGGACCAGCGCCTCTGACAACAGTGTGTGGACCAGGGGCAGTGCATATATTGCGGTGACCCTGGCCACATCATCAAATATTGTCCAAAGTATAGAGAGGCCCGATGGGCTGCCCAGGGGTCAAAAGGCAGCCGTCGATAGGGGTTGCAACTGCCCTACCATAAGGCCATGTGGGAAAACGAGCGTGAGCCGGCAGGAAACTCCCACACCACATGCGCCATGGCAGAGGTTGTAGATCAATGCCTAGATAGTTGTCCAAAGACTGCATGTGTCAGAGTCTCTTTAGGCACCTCCCTCACAGGCGTGGCTGACGAGCTAAAGGAAAGAATGCCCGCCTGGGCCAAGATGAAGAAAGAGAGTAGAGGACAGCTAGTAGTAGTAGATGTAGAAGTCTTTAGGAGCAGATTAGGGGCCCTCGTAGACAGTGGGGCCACTCGCAACTATATTAGTAGAAAGGCGCTGCAAAAGTTAACGTTGGGATTGAAAGTCCAAAAGTTAGCAGACCCCATAGTAAGTATCCTCGCTGATAATCGCACAATGCGAGTAGAGGATTATGTAGAGGGAGTCCAGGCGTACTTCCGCCTAGAGAAAGATGGGAGGGTGGAGAGAGTTCTTTATTCCCCGACTCTCCTCGTAGAGGATAACCTTCCCTTCGATATAGTCCTAGGAATGGACTGGGGAGAGGCAGCAGGGGCCACACTCCATTTAGAGAGCATGAGTGTAGGCTCCCTAGCCCGTCAGGCGGGGTCAAGACTGCCCGTCTGTTTCATGTGTCAGGGGTAGATAACTCTCTGGCACACTGCTGCCTTAGCGCTCCTGCGTTTGCAAGGTTAGTGAAGAAGGAGCAGCTAGAAGAACATGTTTTTGTAGCCTACGTTAGACCAATTACTTAGCCTAAAGAGGAAAAGCCCATAGATCCCGCTATTGCCAAGCTGCTGGAAGAGTACACAGATTTAGCTAAGCCGCCAACAGAGGTAGTCCCGCGGCCCATCCAGCATCGCATTGAGAAAGAGTCCGGCAGTAGGACTCCTAAAGGGCCAGTGTGTCGGATGTCCCCACAGGAGCTGGAGGAGTTGCGCAAGCAGTTAGATGAACTCTTAGAGAAGGGTTGGATTAGGCCCAGTTCGTCTCCATTTGGAGCACCTGTTCTATTTGTCCCCAAGAAGGAGGGAGAGCTTAGAATGTGCACTGACTATAGGGGTCTTAATGCTATTACAGTGAAGGATGCGGAGCCACTGCCCCGTATAAATGATCTTTTAGATTGTGTGCAGGGTTGCAAGTACTTCACGAAGATAGATTTGAAGTCCAGATATCATCAGATAGAGGTTCACCATGATGATCAAAATAAGATTGCATTCCGGACTGGGTATGGGCACTACGAGTTCATAGTTATGCCCTTTGGACTAACCAACACGCCAGCAACTTTTCAGCATTCTATGAATGACGTATTTAGGTCGTGGTTAGATAGGTTTGTAGTAGTCTACTTAGATGATATTCTAGTGTTCAGTAGGACCCTCCAGGAGCATGAGGGTCATCTGAGGCAGGTCTTGGAGAAGTTGAGAGAGGCCAACTTCAAGATCAATGCAAAGAAGTGCGAATGGGCAAAGACCCAAGTTTTGTATCTAGCCCATGTCCTAGATGGAGACGACATTAAACCAGAAGATAACAAGATCGCAGCGATTAGAGATTGGCCTACACCCCGCACGTTGACAGAGTTGCGGTCGTTCTTAGGCCTAGCTAACTATTATAGGAAGTTTGTGAAAAACTTCTCCACCATCGTTGCACCACTTCGCAGGTTACTGAAGAAAGAAACAATCTGGAAGTGGGACAAGGACTGCACTTTTGCCATGAAGAAATTGAAGCAGGCATTGATAGAGTACCCAGTCCTTAAGGTAGTCGATCCGTCCTTACCTTTCGTCGTCATTATTGACGCGAGCCAGTATGGTATAGGTGTTGTATTACAGCAAGACGATGGCAGTGGATATAGACCCATAAAGTTCATGTCTGCTAGGATGCCTTCGGAGAAGGTAGCGACATCCACCTACGAAAGGGAACTCTACGCTCTTAGGCAAGCGTTAGAACACTGGAAGCACTACTTGCTTGGGAGGCACTTCAAAGTCTATTCAGACCACGAGACATTAAGATGGCGGAAGACTCAGGCCAAGATGACACATAAGCTTACTAGGTGGGCCGCAGAGTTACACCAGTATGATTTTGAGCTCAAGCCAGTAAAAGGGAAGTAAAATGTAGTTGTGGATGCTCTGAGTAGGAGAGCTGACCACTTTGGAGCGATAGTTCATTATCTGGATATAGGGAGAGACCTGCAACAGAAAGTTAGAGAAGCGTATTCACATGACCCTATCTATAGTGACCTCCTCAAGAGAGTAAAGGAGGCACCAGAGTCCGAACCAGACTACCGCACTACTGATGGGCTGCTATTTGAGAAGACTAACGTAGTTGACCGATTATGCGTTCCTAACAGTGAGGAGATTCGTAGTCTGATTCTAGGGGAATGCCACAACACCGAGGGACATTTTGGTTGGAAAAAGACTCTAGCCAACCTCATGCGCGCGTACATATGGCCTGGGATGAAGGCCGACTGCATAGAGTATGTTCCCAGTTGTAAGGTATGCCAGAGAAACAAAACCTCTACACGTGCCCCTCCAGGTCTTCTCAGGCCCTTGCCTATTCCAGACCAGCCGCAGGACTCAGTGTCCATTGGCTTTATGGACACCCATGTCAAGAGTAGGCACGCCAAGAGCCAAGTCATGGTTATAGTTGATAGATTTAGCAAGTATGCAATTTTTGTTCCTTTGCCTGCGGAGGCACGCACGAAATTAGTAATCCAGAATTTTTTTGATCATTGGGTTAGTGAACACGGGATTCCGCTGTCTATGGTTAGTGATAGAGACACCCGGTTCACTAGTCAAAAGTGGCAGGAGTTGATGAGAGTCTATGGCTCCAAGTTGTTGATGTCGTCTGACCGTCATCCAGAGACTAACGGTCAGACTGAACAAATTAATAAGATCTTGCAGCAAGTTTTGAGGATGTATATTAGGCCTGATCAAGTTAACTGGGATGAGATGCTCCCAAAGGTAGTCAGTGCATATAACAACAGCGTGCATTTAGCCACTTGTCGCACTCCCAATGAGTTGCATAAGTCTTTCAGACCACGTAGACCATTTGAAGGACTTAACCGGGACCAGATCTAGAGGCTACCACCCGGTACTAGGGAGTTTGCGTTACAGCACGAGAAAGAGTTAGCTACCGTTGTAGAGAACCTCTGGAAGGCCCAACATATGATGATAGAGCAAGCCAACAAGCACCATCGCCCGTCGCAGTTTCAAGTAGGCAACTTAGTCTGGGTCAAGTCTAAAGAATTTGCTCCTGAGGAGAACATCTCACAGAAGCTACTGCCAGCGTACAGAGGACCGTGGCCAGTCCTAGAAGTCAAGGGCGGAGAGGATGGACCGTCCTACATGATAGAGATTCCAGCACACCTCCACACCTACCGAGTTTTCCATGCGTCGAAGTTGTTGCCCTGCAATACAAGTGATCAATTCCCATCACGAAGATCCATGATCCCTCCGGATATGGATGGCAGGTACGACATTGATCGCGTAGTAGGGGAAGATGTCTTTAGAACTGGAGGAAGGGGTCGTCCACAGAGACAATACAAAGTCCGATTTTCTTTTCAGGAACCAGAAGACGACCGCTGGTACACACGAACAAAACTTCTAGAGACGGCTTAGTTCGCGCCTATGAGAGAGACAAAAAAGGTAAAGGTCCTGCCTGGGACTGAAATATTATCGGAGGACCTCGAATTTAGGCCGGCGGGAGTTAAACGGTTTTCACCCTTTTGCAGTAGTGGATGTAGATCCCAGGGCTCGATCCCTAGACCTCACTACCTGTGTACAATACCCCTGTGTGTGTTTGAACTCGTAACCTGCGTTTTAGGAGCCAGTAGTAGTCTGTCGTAGACCTATGTGTCCGTCGGGTCTTGAACCATAGATCTGTCGGGTAGGGGTCAAAGTTTATAGTCGAGGTCGTAGTTGTTGGAGTCCTGAAGGGTCAAGGTCGTAGCTGCCACATTCTTGAAAGGTCAAGGTCGTAGCTGCTACAGTTTCGAAAGGCCAAGTCCACAGCCTTTCGGAAGGTCTGGAAGTGGCCTTTCGAAGATTGCCCACAGCAGACCAGAGGCAAGTGGGCAAGTGGTAAGCCCAGTGCACCGAGTCAGCAGTGCGACTGCACCAAGTCGGCGGTACCATCCCATGCAGTCAGCGGTACCCAGTCCCAGTCTCCCCTAGTCCAGTCAGCAAGTACTGTGTGGGACTGTGTGCACCAAGGGCCCGGTGGAAAAGGGCAGACCAGCCACTAACAGAAGTATAAATCAGGAAGCAGCATCCAGCCATTCATTCATTCGCTGCGTAAGCCATGCAGAAGCGCTGCTACCACGTCTTGTGCGAAGGTGGTCTGCAGGTTGCCCGAAGACGAAGTGGGCTGAAGGGAGATCGTAGCCATAGTCAGTAGTGGTAGTGCGGCCATAGCCGTTGTAGGAGGAAGTAAGACTAAGCGTGTGTGTGTGGTGGTATTCAGGGTGATCTAGAGTGAGCGTGTGTGAACAGTGGGGTTGGACACAGTGACGAAGGTTGGGATGTTCAGGCGCCGATACGCCATAGCCTGTTGAAGTGAACTTGCATCTGAACTATGTTCTCGATTTCCATATCTCTAAGCTTTGAGTGGGCGCCATGCGCCAGTGTGAATCCCCATCTGTTTGCATGTATGTGAAGTGGAAGTGACCTGTTAGCAGTAGCGAGTGCAGATCCCAGGGCTTGATCCCTAGTCCGTACCCTACCTGTGTACACTACCTGTGTCGAGCCCAAGAGTTGAACCCGTGACCTGTGTATTTGTAACAGTTGGTAGATTGTCGTAGGTCCGTAGGTTGTAGGGGTTCGATCTGTAGACCTGTCAAATAGAGGTCTTAGTGAGTTTTCGAAGTCGTAGCTGTAGGATTCCAGAAAGGTCAAGGTCGTAGCTGCTACAGTCCTGAAGGGTCAAGGTCGTAGCTGCTACAGTGACGAAGGGCCAAGACTACAGACTTCTGGAAGCTCCGGAAGTGGCCCTTCACACATTGCTCACAGTAGTCTTGAGGCAAGTGGGCAAGTGGTGGAGTCCACCTGTGCTGAGTCCACGGTACCAGTCCTTGTCAGTCCTAGTCCAGTCAAGCAAGTACCGTATGGGACTGTGTGCACCACTGGCATGGGGAAGGGGCAGACCAACGAGTTACAAAAGTATAAATCAAGAGGCAGCGCCCAGCCATTTATTCATTCCTGCGTAAGCCATGCGGAAGCGTTGCTTGAACGACTTGTGCGAGGTGGTCTGCAGTATGCCCGAAGACGAAGTGGGCCGAAGGAGAGCTTAGCCATAGCGGTAGAGGTAGTAGCGGCCATAGCCGCCATAGCTGGGAGAAGGGTATAGCGTGTGTGGGCGTGTGTGTACAGTGAGTTGCGTGTGGGATATCCGGGGTGATCCTGTGTGTGAACAGCAGAGTTGGGCTAGTGACGAACAAAGAGTTGTACAGGCGCTGATGCGCCATAGCCATCTGAAGTGAGCTTGTATCTGAACTGTGTTCTTGGTTACCATATCTTCGAGTTGTGAGTGGGCGCTTGTCGCCAGTTTGCTCCGCTACCTGTTTACATGCATGTGAAGTGTGAAAGGAAGCGGGTTTGACTGCATTGGTATTGGAGCTGATACCCGCTTTTCCACGCGCCATCGCCGTGAAAAAGAAGTACGCCCTAGCTGCACTGTGGAGGAAAGACGCCGCGCACACCTGCGAAGAAGACACTTGAGAGAGAGAGAGAGAGAGAGAGAGAGAGAGAGAGAGAGAGAGAGAGAGAGAGAGAGAGAGAGAGTTGAGCGATACAAGATTGGTTGCCACATACCTGCCTTGAAGACAATCGTTACAAAGAGAGAGAGAGAGAGAGAGAGAGAGAGGAGTGATACAAGTTTGGTTGTGCAGTTTCACGAAGGAGAAGGTGGCGACCATAGCCACCGAGTTCGGACACGTAGTGACGAAGGAGGAACGGTAGTAGAGGAGGAGGGAGAGACCGAGAGAAGTAAGGAAACCATTGTTGAGAAAGGTGAAGGGAGAGACTACAAAAAGAAAAAAGAAAAAAGAAAGAAAGAAAGAAAGAAAGAAAGAAGATAGCCGGGGTGGAAGAAGAAAGAGGCGAAGAAGGAGAAAGGAAGGAGGGAGAAGAGAAAGCGGAGGTTGGTGAGGAAGAAGACGACAGCCATAGCCGGGCGAAGTGTTCACCGACGGAGTTGACCGGGGTTGATCAGGATTTGATCGGGAGTTGATCGGGGGTTGACTGCAGCGTTGACCAAGTGCGGACCAGTGTTGACCACGCGTTGACCGGAGCTACTGACCATCAGTTTGACCAAGCTAGAGTTGGTATACTCTCGCCAAGCCTTCAGCCTGTCCCCTCGCCCTATGGATGCGCACATGCCCTGTGGTACTTGTTGAGTCTGCCTGTCTCTTCTTTTTGCATCGAGTCTCTTCTGTCCAAGTGTAGGAACTCTTTGTATGAAGGATAGGGCCTTGTTGACCAAACCCACACGGGCTGAGTAGGGCTAAAGACTGTGTCTGACGACTCGACTGTCCTGGAGGACACGAACCCTCCCAAGGACCGGTACTGACCGGTGGGCTGCTCGGTGTGGCACGGTAGGCCCAAAATTCGAGCCGTGGGCTGCACAACAAGCTGTCTAAGTCTTGAGAGGACTTGCTGATCGCGTCGTCTTGTCGACGACGTTAAATAATTCTTGAGGAGTTACAAGGGATCTCCTTAAATGCCTCCTGATCAGTATTGAGTCCTGTAGTGACAGCCTTAGAGTAGGTCCAGGCTAGTGACCCTAGTTGACAGGATTCTGTAGTCTATAGATTGAGTCAATAGGTTGTGTCAGTCAGGGGATAGAGTCTAAGTGGTGAGGAGTGGAACAGCTGTCGGGTTGTGCACCTAATACCATGGTTGACAGCCGTGGAGGGAAGAGTACTAACCCCTATAGTCAGGCTCAACAGGACCAAGCCGCCGCCATTATGCAAGACAGAAGGGAGACGAAGGAGAAGAAGGAGCTCAAGTAGGCGAAGTTGAAGGCAATCACAGAGGAGCAGGCGGGGAAGAAGAAGAAATTGGAGGAGAAGATGATGAGATTACAGCAGGAGGAGGAAGAGAAAAAGAGGGTTGCCGAAGAAGAAGCAGCAGAAGAGGAGGAAAAATTAGAAGATGAAGGACCCCTCGAGAGGAGGCGCACGAGAGAGAGAGCAGAGAGCAGTGGCACGGACGGAGAAGATTCGTGGGTGGAAAGAGAAATCAGCGAATGGGTTGCTAATTTATCATTGGGAGAGGACGAATAGGCAACGTTATATATGCCTTGGGAGGAGAAAGAAGCCGTAGCCAGGGGCCTGGACCGCCGGACGCTAGAAAATGAAAAGAGATTGGAGTGGAAATTACGTCTGGCGAGGGAAAAGAAGAAGAGGAGGGAGGAGGCCAACCAGATGGTCAAGGAAGTGGAAAAGATACAGTCGTGTAGGCAAGAAGTGGAAGCGCAGAAGGATACCCAGCCCAAATTAGACAAGATTCTGAGTTATGTAGAGACTTT